ACCTTGTGAGACCGAGAGAAAATCACGGTAAGAAAGAGTGTTGTGATCTATAGTTACCGCGCGATGTTTTCCGAGGCAGGTAATGGGTGGAACAAAGCCAAGGGTGGTCAAGCTAAGACCTGGTACGAGGGTGTGAAAACCCTAACCAGGAGACTCGGTCACATAGGTCACGTTAGTCTATCTGGCTGGGGCCCTCGGGATGATCGTAACCGAGGTTTAGAGGCACTTAAAGATATAGCTGTATCGTAAACAACGGCGTTCGTGAATCTTCTCGATCTCCTAGCAACCCTAGTCTACTGAAATCCTCCAGCTTCTCTTTAATTCTGCTTTCAACTTTCGTATCTTCCCCTTAGTGCTTCATTTAAATGGGCAGCTAAAAGATAGCAACTAGTACCGGCGCACGAAAGTGCATGGTTGATGATTGTACAAAATGAAACTGCTGCATTGGTAATGAGATGATAGCATGCGAAGCGGTTCCAGGTCTCGAAGAGAAGACACCGTGAAGCGACGAGCAAACTCATGACTTTGAGTTGTTGCGCGGTGAATAAAAGAAAAATTTGTAACGGGGGTGATGACGTGGGGGTTCTAAAATTTAGTGTAGAGATGGGAAATCAACCGACAGGCTTACTCGTTTAAACGAACAACATCAATTTGGAAGCAACTCACCTAGGATATGTTAATGCCGCTTGGTGCAATCACACCAAGATGTCAAGATACTTAAACATCCAAGAAATTGTTGTCTAAATCAATTTTCACCATTTGGAAATCCAAGTAGCGGAGGGCTGTTGCACTGGATGTGCTGATAAAAATTCAGATATCATTAGTTTTGTTGTGTTGGCTATCTCCCACTATTCAAAAGCTTGGCGCGATTTGCCTTAGCTAAGCTGACCAAAATGTCTCATCCTGGTCTGTATGTGGCCCGAACGACCGATACTATTACGTCTGTTTTGCATAACACCAGGCGGTTGAGCAAAGCGCAGCGAAAAAATCAACAGCGACGATGGATCTACGGAATTAACGCAAAACCGAAATTCGAGTTTTATCATTCTGTGTAAGGATGAAAAATCAACTGATAAGATGTTTGCAATACTGGTTTTGCTTAAGAAGACTCAAATCTTTAGCTTTCGGCAGCCACAGATGTCATGAATTTTTGTCCAGTTGTTCTCGAAGTTACAGACTTTACTACATTTCCTGAAAAATGGTATTAGTTCAATTAGTCTCCGTCAAACGGTTTTTAAGCTGATGAATCACTTCGCTAACATAGTTCTGAAGCCGAAGGTACAAAAAGGCCTCCTTCGAAATATGACGAAAACTGATGCAGCCTTTAAGTGGGCCAGCGGGCCTAACGTACGAGACACTTCCGATTGACATTGATCGAAATTTTTAGTTAACTTCGATCTTTACACTACACGACAGTGGTCCCGAGGGGCTCCCGTGAACATCCCATGCACCGCACTAAACTCTTATCAGCGTCTAAAATTTCAGAAACCTGAACCGAATACTACCTTCCACTTAATGCCTTCCAATGTAACGCTTGAAAACTTCGACAGCTGCTACTGTTAACTAGTACTTGACGGACAAAAACACGACCTGAAACATTTATCATCACCAGCATCGGAACCATCCGCCGCCTTTGCTTAAGCGTTACAACGGAACTTGCGACTGTAAAACGCGCCTCGCCGCTCATCAACTGCCTTATTCATCGGACTATTAATAGGTATCAGCTGAACGAATGGCTAGAGTACAAACGTGAACCGCAGACCTTGACAGAGGATGTTTAAATTCACATGCAAGTAGTCTCCGAAATCTCGGGTGCGAAACGCACCAAGAAAAAACAACCACTCAGGCATAGTATGATCCACCCACTTTCTATCCGACTCCTCACATGCGGCAGCACACAAGACTTATCGAGGGAAGAGACAAGGACAGTGGTAGACAGTTTCCCTGTCCTCCGCTTCGACGCTACGCCTAACTTACCCCAAGTCACGGGGCTCACGTTGCAGGTCCCCATCATTCGACAGTATGACGTCCAACCCACCCGCTGTTCAACACACTAAGGTGGGAAGGAAAAACTGATCGCTCAATCACGGCAGAATCCGGGACCAAGTAACCAGACCTCAACGCAAGGTGATTGACGAACCCAATCGATTCCAAGCCAGAACGGGTTTCAGGGCACACGAGCGCACGTGGATAGCATTTATCCCCGCACACCTGACGCCGATCTGGAGCAAGCCTTGCGTCGCGTACCTCACTTCTTGATCGAGCGTCCACAAGATCCAGAGGATAGCGAACGGCAGGGGAAATTCATAGTACCTAGAAGGTTCGCGGATCGCGACTCTAGCGACATCCAAAATCTCCGCCCCGATAGCTGAACCAATACCGTAATATACTAACGTCCGTAAGCCAACGCAACGATAGTTATAAGCAATAACAGCGATCACCCGGACGGAAAAGACATCTAACGAAAGCCGTTTGGCTCGGAATAGCAAGATGAAGGACGCACAGATAGAATAGGTCTACGGATGAGAAACACCTACACGTGAACAGAACTACAACCACCAGCTGGAGAACGAAGAGTCACAACGCGATCGGCACAACCTACAAAGCTCCAACTAACGAATGCCGACCACAGACCAACAACGGGGTACAAGGGGTGTACCTACAAACCCGAGATACCCAAACTAGCCTCGAGCCGGTAGAAGATACACCGCCAAGCACCGACCAGCAATTACACCAGGGCCCTCAATACTCGACTCAAGCACAACAAACAACGCGAGTTCGCCAAATTCCAATCTCAGGCCTCAATTGTATACGACCCAATCGTAGCCTTCCATGCCCATCTCACAACACGCTCCTCGAGAACAGCAGCAAAAACGGCCAAATCGCTAAACCGCAATAACACGAGAACGCACCTACACCCAAACAATTATAACGCACCAATAATAAGAAACAAAAGTCGCCGAGTCAAGAGTGATCAAATAAAATTTTACTGTACAAGAGAAAGTCATAACCGATATACAATCTAATCAACCTCCTCCATACCAGCGTCATCACCTGCCTCGGTCGGAGCCGCAGCCGACGAAGAACCTTCCGGTGTCTCCGTCTTTACCTCCTCCTCAGTGGGAATGTCCAAACACATAGACACCAACTGATGAATACGGCCAGCATGCACTTTAGGATCTTCCAGCGAAAAACCAGAAGACAACAGTGCTGTGCTGTGCAACAGGAACACCAAATCCTTCGCCAACTTGTTCGATTCACCACTATCAAACAGTGCCTTCAACGATTGGATGATCTTGTGACGCGGATTCAGTTCCAAGTGCTTCTTCGCCGCCATATAACCCATCGTGCTAGAGTCACGCAAAGCTTGTGCCTTCATTATACGCTCCATATTCGCCGACCAACCAAACTCAGAGGTCACAATACAACACGGAGAGGTGGTCAGACGGTTCGAGATGGTCACTTTCTCAACCCGCTTGCCCAGAATATCTTGAATGTGTTTGCACAACGGCTCATACTCCGCCTTCAACTCCTCAAATTTCTTCTTCTCTTCCTCGTCTTCCGGCAACTGAAGACCCTCTTTCGTAACACAAACCAACTTCTTACCATCATACTCGCGCAACTGAGTCACTGCATACTCATCAATAGGGTCTAACATATACAACACTTCAAATCCACGCTGACGAAGAACCTCGGTGAATGCGGAGTTAGAAACTGCTTCCTTCGTCTCACCCGTGATGTAGTAAATGTCCTTCTGGTTCTCCTTCATTCGAGAAACGTACTCCTTCAAACTCGTCAACTCATCCGGACTGTTCGTCGAATAATAGCGCAAAAATTCAGCAAGCTTCTTACGATTCACACCATCCTCGTGAATGCCAAGTTTGATGTTCTTCGAGAACTGCTCGTAAAACTTCTTGTAGTTCTCTTTGTCCTCCATTATCTCATCGAACAATTCCAAACACTTCTTCACCAAATTCTTACGAATCACTTTCAATATCTTGTTCTGCTGTAACATCTCACGACTGATGTTCAAAGGCAAATCTTCACTGTCAACAACACCACGGATAAAGTTCAAATACTCCGGAATCAAATCCTCACAATTGTCCATGATAAACACACGACGCACATACAACTTGATGTTGTTACGCTTCTTGCGATTCTCAAACAAATCGAACGGAGCCCGCTTCGGAACAAACAACAACGCACGGAACTCAAGCTGACCCTCAACAGAGAAATGCTTCACAGCCAAGTGATCTTCCCAATCATTGCTCAACTGCTTGTAGAACTCACCATACTCTTCCTGAGTTATGTCATCTGGGTTGCGCGTCCACAAAGGCTTCGTCTTGTTCAACTCCTCCTCGTCAATGTACTTCTCTGTGATCTTTTTCTTCTTCTTCTTGTCTTTACCCTTGCCTTCCTCGTCCTCCTCATCCTCATCCAAATCCTCCACCTTCGGCTTATCGTCCTTTTCATCTTCTTTCGTCTCTTCCTTCTCCTCTTCGTCATCAGAAACCTCCTTCGTTCGCTCCTTCTCAACAAACAATTTGATCGGATAACCAATAAACTGAGAATGCTTCTTCACAATCTCCTTCAATCGCCTCTCCTCCAAATACTCCGTCTGGTCTTCTTTGAAATGCAATATCACTTTCGTACCACGACCAATATCCTCACCCGGATCCGGACGAATCGTGAATGAACCACCAGCTGATGACTCCCAAATGTACTGCTCGTCATCGTTATTCTTTGAAATAACCTCAACACGATCCGCAACAAGGTAAGCCGAGTAGAAACCAACACCAAACTGACCAATCATCGAGATGTCTGCACCAGCTTGCAAAGCCTCCATAAACGCCTTCGTACCAGAACGAGCAATCGTACCAAGGTTGTTGATCAAATCCGCTTTCGTCATACCAATACCAGTGTCAATCACCGTCAATGTGTTGTTCGTCTTGTCCGGGATCAATCGGATCTCCAACGCCTTACCCGTATCCAAACACGACGGATCTGTCAAACTCTTGTAACGAATCTTGTCCAAAGCATCACTAGCGTTCGACACCAATTCACGGAGGAAAATCTCCTTGTTCGAATAGAATGTGTTGATAATCAAGCTCATCAACTGAGCAATCTCCGCTTGGAAAGCAAATGTTTCACCTTCCGGTTCGGTAGCCATCGGTTCCGGCATGATTCACAGTGTCTCAGTGCCAAGTGTGATCACAAAATTCGAGCGAACAGCGACGCGCAAACACGAGGCAGCAACCAACGTGGCCAAACGCGTGCAACAAACCCCTTATAAAGCGCAAATCGAAGATTCTTGAATTTAGAAACACCACTGCCAATCAGCACACGATAGAAGTGGCCAGACCATTCTGGGTGGTTAACTGCGTTCCCATTGGAAGCGCGTGCGGTCGGCTCCATTTCGCCTCTCATCATTGGTTCTCTTCGAACCTATGAAAGGTCGGAATGCCACAATCCGACCAATAGAAGTCGCGTATTTGCCTCGTGCGAACGCACGTGTCTGTGCAGACCGATTCACGGCCTGTGCGTGGGTCGACCGGATTTACGGTCAATGGCGAGGCGGTTTTGGTTGATGCGATTGGATAGTGGGAGTCGATTGTGGATTGTCACACGTTGCGAGAAAATCACGCAGCGGGGCATATGCTTGCTGGTCTGTTTGTTCACGATCGTGTGCCTGATGGTTGTTAGCATTACCATGGCACTTGGAATAATGATGCCGGAATCGCGTTAATAGGTTCCTCCAGTGCACCGTGCGGTATATTTTGAACCGCAGGATCCCCAACAGATATATGTTGGAAAAGTGAATAAGCGACTTTAATGCTGTGGTGAAATCACGAAACATACGATCCGGATAATGAACTGTGTAGGACTTGTATGTTTTTGTACTGTTAGTCTGTACAAGCGGCCGGTGATGAGTAATAGACAATATGAGGTTAGGCGGTTGATATTGTCAGGAGATAGTCAGTGAGCAAGATTCCCACAAGTTTTGCTGTGTTGGTAAATTGGTGCGAGAGAGAGAGAGAACATTCTCAATTTAACTCCACGATGTGATATTGCTCACAGTTTTGTCACCAGGCCTTCATTGGTTCAGTTTCGAGATGTATGTTGGAGAGTGACTTTGCTGTGCGTGGATCACCCGAAGCAAATGAGCATTGTTTCAAACATTGGGGTGTTGATCAAATGAGATAGGATAAATTGAGGAATAAATACTGTGTTGGGTTTGTCTGCATCTGGTTGAATTTATTACTATATATGATCTGATGTGTGCTCCAGAGTTAATGAGCGGCCGTGTGTATGATAGTGGAAATTAGTATACTACAATCTGGGTAACAAATTGCAGTTTAGCTGCAAAATGCATAACAGACAAAAGTGGAAGGGCGAACCATGACTTACATTACTACTTAATGTTGTGTTGAAATCATGAAAAATACAATCCGTATGAGTAACTGTGTGGGAGTGGCACGCTTTCGTACGTGCCTGAATGTGTTCACAATTGGAACCAGTTCGGGAGATTGAAATACGTTTAGGTAATGCGAGGCTAAGGAGATAGCATCAAGGGGTATTTTATGGACAAGATTATCACAACGCTTTAGTGTGTTGGAAATGCGGAATAATAACTCAGAGAGGAAAATTCTCTTTGCAGCTCCACGATCTGATATTGCCCACACTTCGATCACCATTAATACATCGATCTGATCATGAAAGGTGGGGTGGGGAATGACCTGTTCGAGTGTAGATTAATCACAGAAAACGAGCATGTTCACCAATATTGTTCATACAAATATTGTGGTGGTACTCAAATGGGAATGGAGAAATTGAGGATTTCCCTGTTGGACTGATAAATTATCATAGGTGATGCGATGTGCGCTTCAAATTAATGAGGATTGTTTAGTCTCATACAATTCGGTAACTGAAAATGTAATGGAATATGTTACGAACTAAGGTGTCCAACTCAACAAAATTGTCAATGTCAGCGTGGTTACAATGGAGTTGTGGCCAAGTCGTTATGTCACCAACTTGTAACCTGGGAATCCCGTGTTCGAATCGCTCCACCACCGCCCGTCTTTGCAGACAGCCTTTGTATGGCCGCGGCCCCCTTCCTTAATGTTGACTATACATTTGTCTATTCAATAAAAAAGATAGACAGACCGACAAATCGATAATTTCAACAAGAAATGCACAAAAATTCCGGATGAAGCAGAATTTCCAATTGATCACATGGGATAGGAAGTATTAGCTAACGGAAGCATTGATGAAAGGAAGAAATGAAGTTCAATCTGGACAGACCACATATTTTTCACCACCATTGACGTGGTGTCAGGAGGTCGCAGTAGGCATCCTAATAACAATTAGATAATAATGACACGTATGAAAACAGATGACTAGTGGCTAGGAGGCGCTTTGTGCGGTCAACAATTATGAATGGTAAAATCATCGTCACCAAGTTGTGTTTGAACTTCGCTCTCTATCGTTGATTGCAAACTCACTATCGATTGTACTGATAACAAGCACAATGCATAATTTTCCAATGTAATTCTATCTATTTACAGGTTGCGTGATCTTAAAGTGCAATGGCCTGCAGAGATATAATTATGCATCGCCCTTTGCCATTCAACAATAACGAATATAGGTAAAATAGAATCTTTGCAACTCGGCATTGTTACACATTCAGTTCTTAATGTAATAAGAAGGCAGATGGCTGATACTCACGTTTTCTTTAAGGCAAGAGGATAAGCAAAGAATCAAATAACCATGATAATCTCCTGTCTAATCACACCCTGTTCGAAGTATTGTCACACTTCCTGGCACTTCACACGATCGTTTGCCAATGTATGGCTTATTCATTGACCAACCAAAATGCAATGTCGCATACAGCCAATAATGTACCTCGGAGTGTGACGCACACATGACACTGATTGGATAATCCTTAGGAGGAACGCACACGGATTCACTCTTTTAAAGCGATGACAGCGCGCCAAGGCTTATCGATCAGAAAACGGAGAATTGTGTGGGATAAGTTGAATCAGGCTGGAGCAACTCAGCGATGTGGTGAAATCCTCCGGTGATTTATTGAAGCGTGTTTAATTTATTATATTTATTCAAACACATCTGAGATCACCATATCAACACTGATGCATCTCAAAAAATTTACTAACTCAAAATCAACGAAAACTTCCAGTTAGTTAATGATGCAACTTTGTAACGCCTTACCGCTATTAGGACAAAGTATGGCGAGTTTCTCAAAATGCAGAACATCACTGACAGGAAGGCGATCGAACCAGCACGAAAATTGCACCGTGCTGGTTATGTCAGGGCTTAAGAAAGTTAGTTTAGCTCCTCGTCAGATGTGGTTTCTCATCCTACAAAACAGGAGACAAGCAATATTTCAAGCGTGTTACTTTCTTTAGATTTACATCGAAATTTGACAATCTCGTGGATCAATTGCCAGAGGGGGGTCACCGGAATTGATTCAGTGATTTGCCGATGGTTATCTTTTTTATATTGATGAAACAATGTATCTGCATTTGTATCGCTTGTGTTGTCCAAACTCTCAATGCGCCTGTTTTGAGGATGGTTGAGGTTGTCCAAACTCACTGTAGCTGGTCCGAGTCGTGGCGATAAATGCTGTATCTCTGTGACAAATCTTAGTTCAGAAATAAAAACACGAATACATCCGTCCTTCAAGGATATTGCACCCAACGTTCTTCAGGATTTCTCTCTGAGGGCAACTCTTCCTCAAGTAAGAGAAGGTCAGTATAAAAACTATTGTACTTATCTCAACCTAATACCAATTGAAGTACCCGGTACAAATCTTTCATTCTTTGTAGGATCATAGATAGCTGTAAGTAATTTGATCACCACACGTTGCACTCAATGAACTGTGAGGATCACACTGATGTAATTAGGCTGTGAAAATATAAGAGGAAGATGATAAGTGATGCAACCTAGATAAGAATCTGTGATGAAGCTGAATAAGAAAGGAAGAAGCTGAATGTGACTGGTTGTTACCCCTGGTATTGCGGATAAGATGCAATAAACAGTTCAGGAATTACAGAGAAAAAATATAATTTCTGTTTGCCAGTAAATGAGTTTAAATTTGGGTCGTATTTTCCAGGTGAAATGCTGCTAATTTTTTTACTATATCCTTCTATCATTAGGTATCTTATCAAGTGTATCTGTCGATCCCAGAAATATGTAGGCACTTGCATTGGGTTCAAAGGAATCGGGGTTATTCGATGAATCCTCTGCCTCAATGAAATTTACTCACTAAGCTTTTGAGGACCTAGACTGAAGGCACGCGTGCAATGATTCAATCCAACGTTCATGCATGAGCATGGCGACTGCTTTATCGATCAATTTTGACTTGATTCGGTTCCTTACCCAGCCAATGGAGGTCACTTAACGCCGGGTTCGTCCATCCTCGTCTATAAAGCTCACTTGATCAATGGTCTAGGACATAATGACCCCGGGTGGTGGTGGATGCACGAACAGTGAAACCGAACCGCACCAAAATTTCAACCTAGATCGGAAGATCACTCAAAACGTACCTATTTTCTCGAGCGCTTTTCGATTGACTGCGCTACGTTTGTGTTCACTGTCTCATTGGAATTTATTTCTTGTTTTCTACAATATTTTCGCGACGTTCATATGACAGGGAATCATTCATACGACTAAATGATAATCATTCCTGCCTTACTTCATCCAACTCATGTGGTTCTACTCGAACTGTGGTTTCTGGTTAGAGCAAGAAATGAAAGCGTACGGGTGACAGACGGCTCTTGCACACATTCCACCTCTGAAGATGACTGCTCCCCGTGGTGATCCCAGCCTGCGAGATGACGCATAACCTGGAGCGACAAGTTACAATTTTAGGACAACTGTGATCAATCAAGCTGCACGGGTGACGTCAGCAAAGCGCGTGCGTGCCATAGCTTCTGGACTACATGCCATAATCGATCGTACCAGCCAATGAGAACCCGTGTGGCCCAGACAGAAGCTAAATAACGGCAGAAATACTAGAACGCGATTGGCAGAGGCCCGGATGATCAATGAACTTGTTTTATACTTATTATTTAATCCCCCTTATTTCTTTTAATAAACGAGCTACTACTCCGGTGGCCTTTTCCTCGAGTCTCGGTTACGTGGGATATTGCGTGCAAGTGTGGT